TACAAGCAACGTGCATAATTGACCTACCAATCTATTCCGTACAATATCAAATACAATATCTCCCAAAAGATTCATAATATGTTGTACATTGGTGAAGTTATTAATGATTCAAAGTGCAAAAATGGGTGAAAAATGTTTAAATTCTCCCAAATAATAAGAATGGTAACCATTTTTATAGAAAAAATAATTATTGTAAAAATCTTTTGTTTACCTCGAACAAAGTATGCACTTTTGTGATTTTTAGAAAATAGACATGACAAGGAATAAATTTTTTTTGACCTGCTCGCTATCTCTGATTCTCTCTTTAAGTTAATCTTCAGTGTCATTTGATGAATGACCTGTTCAAATTAAATGCTCTTATTCATTCAATCATTCACTTGACTTCACTACTTCCATAATTCAATCAACTAGACAATTACTTCCTATTTATTTCTGCAAGTCATATCAGATCGTATCTTGAAAATATTATACTTGAAAACATTGGGATATACTAGTAGAATTGATATATTGGAGGAGCATGACATATATAAAGATTATCCTATATGAGGTTCAGGATATTGGGATTATCCCGAGGCAAATATAATATATCTGCCCGACTATACATGTAGGATAATATGTTTATTCCATACCAATCTTTTAGTTTACATGTAAATCCTCGGTTGATTGGCTGTAAGTTTTACCTCTTCAAATGTGCAAGTAATCAGTAAATTATCGACGGATTTTTATTGAACGTCGAATTGACATTTATTTACGCCTTCTAAGCGATTTTATATATTTCTGTTCATAATGAGTAAATAATTTGAAGAGAATTACTCCCGGTCAGTTTTCAATCATGATATAGGAGCTGGATGTGAACAGGTAAAATTATCATAATCATTAGTTCACCAACATTATAACATGTCTCTCATGCATAAAATATATAGATAGACTATCTATTTTAATTTAATCTTCAGTGTCATTTGATAAATGACCTGTTCAAATTAAAAACATTTGCTCTTATTCATTAAATCATTGACTTCACTACTTCCATAATTTAATCAAGTAAACGATTACGTCCTATTTATTTCTGCAAGTCATATCAGATCGTATCTTGAAAATATTATACTTCAAAACATCGGGATATAGAATTGATATCTTGGAGGAGCGTGAATATACAAGCGCAAATGCCAAAGGGAAGGGTGACTATAAACTTTAAAGAAACCTTACAAGAAACGCAAACTTTAAGTGTTAATCAGTCATAAGAAAAGTAGACCCTATATATCCCCAACCCATTATTTACCGTGAAAAGAAACAAAGTCTAACATCTAATCGAGAACCAGTATCACAAATCAGGACCAGAACACCAAGGGACATTTCATTCATACTGAAGTCATTACAATACTTGTTGAAGAAAAATTGAAAAAATTGATAGCCCATACTCATAACACCAAAATAGTTGTAGATACTAGTACTCATAAAAGATAGAGTATTCAGTCTCAAATGATGTGGGATAGATAAAATCCAGTCAGGCAATTCAAAGGGTCAACATCCGTTCGCAAAGCCGTCATCATAATCCATAAAACACAACAATTCACAATGGCCATCAGGAGAAAACTATGGCTGGTTTCGATCCCTATTTCTCAACCATTAATGCCAAAGCCGGTGTAACAGATTTAAGTGTCCCACAGTGGTCAGTGTCCTACGGACCCCGATCCCTAGGGTTGGCTGTCAGTTGGAGGACATTGAAAACCAGGTTTTATTTGCTATATTTACAATGGGGAGACAGTTATAACTGGGGAGACTCTCAGATCTGTCACACCAGTAACAGATTGTAATGTCCCCGTTGATGGGATTTAATACTAGTAGCTCATAGGATCAAAGTCAAAGTGTAGTCGAAATCAGTTATCGGCATCTCTCCCACTGTAGCGTAATACTATAAGCGTTGGCATAATGTTATTTATTAATTGTGATTTGTATTTCTTAGGTTCCAGGTTCGAATCCTGCCTTGGTGTATCTTGTGTAAATATGTTAACCGTCTACACTATTTATATTGTATACATTGCTTGCAAAATTGTCTCAATAGATTGTAGTTTTCCATATTGTTGCCCTTTTTTTATTTTCAAAGGATACCACCTTATTAGTTTTTATAGATATTCTTTATTTTAAATCTATATTTTTGGATGAAAGTTTTGATATACATTCCTCTAAATGTTCTACACATATTAGCTATTGACCATCTATTAAAATTTTGCACCAGTTTTGAGATATTAGAGCTTAAACACTAAAAAAAGTACTAGTCAAATTGCGAAATTTTTCAAGGCCAAATTTCAACTTGGTTCAATTTTAACAAATCTTTTTTAAACATCATTTACAAGTTTCGTTGAGGTCTAACATGACCTTAGACTTCAGATTTGACCTTTGCTGACCTTCAAATTGTCAAAAATGCCTACAGGGCCTCCAAAAGTTTGCTTGCAATCTTAAAATTCTAGTATTTTTTAATTGACGTATATTTCAACATTAGATATATGTAGATGTCTTTAAATTCAGATAGCTTGGTATTATTCTGATTTATAATTTTGATTTATAATGACGTGTCGCAAAAAGGTGGCGCATTTGTTTTTTAAGGGTATCGCGTGAATGTAACTTTGATTCCCCGGATTATAAGATAATATTCTAATTAAAGTTATATATCATTTTAAAGCTGTTTCGATGAGGTTTTTAGATCAACTACACTCCGTTCACGATTCTTGCGCGTTCTTTTTTAAAAAAGATTTTTTTACCAAAACATCTGGCAAATATCCCCTGTTGACACGTTACATTTTGAATTATTTTTCGTCATTCAACGCTCATAACTCAAACAATATATGACTATTATACTTATTTTTCGTCTTGATAAAGGTAGATGGAAGTTTTATTTCAAAGGATGAATTTTAGTAAGCGTCCGATATTGTGACGTCATAGAGTTTGTAAAATAGAATCTGTTGACAGCGACCTTTTTTGCTCATTTTTTTGTTACCTTCAACTTTTCAGGTGTACATTAAACAAAAAATACGAGATCAATTTTTAATAAATCATATATGATTATTTTGCTCTTAAACTCTAGTTTATTAATAAATAGTTGATTTTGTTCGCAAAAGTATGCGTTTTCTGTTGTATGTGGAAAACTGGAGGACGAAAGGTTTTCAAAATTCATTAAAATAGGGCTAATTTACGCCATTCGCCTATTTTCAAGCACAGCAACACGTATATTTATTTCACCTAAAATATCAATTGATTCGTGTTTTATGATGCTCCTATCCCCTTGTTAATACATATACGATATCAGAATTATTCGCCTTAAATATTTTGAGATATAGAGGCAAATGTGGAGGACGAAAGGATTTCCATATGTGTACATTTTTTCTCAAAAAACGTCACATACTGTGGTGTTAAAAAGCGAAAATGTGTAACAATGCGTGCGCGACCTTTTTGCGACACGTCATTAGATTTTACTATTCTGTCATATCATAAGCGATATCGTACGACCAACATTATTTTTTATCTAATTCAGTTCATCAATCTAAATGAGCATTATCCCTGCTTCGGACAAATTTGATTTTTTTACATAATATAGATTTGAATGTCTTCTTTTGAATAGTCATAATTTAATTTGGGTAATACTTTATAGATTTTTCTCAAAAAAATATTCGCGCAGTACACCAATGAACTTCTTTCCCCAAAGCGAGACTTGTATTTTATTGAATCGGTCAAATTGAGCGTTATCCCTGCTTCAGACCAATTTGTTATTTTTTCATCTTGTAGATTTAAAGTGTTTATTGTACGGTATATATAAATAATTGCGACTCCCGTTGAATAAACTTCACATTGTTCAATCGTGGAAATATTTTAGAATATGCATGTCCAGTTTTGTGTTCTTGGCCGTGGGCAGATTTTCCTGTTCTCTCAAATATTCCCATATTTATTTTCTCGAATTTTTGATTGATTAAGTGGATGCTTCTTCCCTTTTTAAACCATCAAACAGATCCCGATTGTCTGTGTTTTCTCCATTGTCGTTTACAGTCATTACGCGAACGTTACAAATTATGAAAAAATATGCGAGCGGCGATTATGACGTAGCGGGCAGATATACTATACAAACCGCTTCATGTACCTGTAACACATCCAAGTGTGGGATACACATGTTTAATTGCTTATTTGTCAAATATAAATAATAATAGGAAAAGGACAAGGTGCAATTATTGGCAAATATCCCTATGGTCAAAATGAATCATTCGTAGGTGTAACATGAAGAATAAAATGTCATATAATACTTTGGAAAATATTAAAGTGCTCGGACACACATAAGCTGAGATAGGGATCAAAAATACTTCCTGGTTTGGAATCTATGCCTCTACACTTCATGATTGAATTATGACCCTAATAAGTGGCCTATACATCAATACAGTGCTGAATATAGGTCAACAAGATACTAGTGTGCATATGAATGTACTAATTGAAGCAGAATACTCATTTTGAAAAATCAGATGAATTATTTTTTTCCCATGGGGAGATCCCAATGGATCGAGGGTGTATAAGGTCCTTTCACAGCTACCATCTGATAGGTTGTGGGATAAAGTGTACAAAGATGACCCCAGGACAATTACAGACCTGCAAAAATTGATCATAATTGTCATTCAGGCCATACCCACTGAGGATTGCAGTTGGGTCATAGACAACTTGTGCAGGTTTGCTTAGGCGCCATCATGGCCACACCTGGAGCATGTTGCTTGTTTAAACTGACTATCAGTTTGATGGGCATGAAATATTGTAGACTGATGGGAAATTGAACGATGTACAAGTGTGTAAAATATCAGTAGTTCCCACAAATGACAAAGATTTGAAAAAAATACAGGGTTGCCGTTTTTTGACCACCCTGTATTATTGCAGATAATTTTATAATAACTGAATTTTGATCACTTTCAGATTTAAGCTTTTTTTTTACCTCGGAAATTTATTTAATTTTTTCACTGCATTGTTCATAGGTGAACAATTGGAGGATGTGAAATGTGGTTTTGATGGCTGCAAGATCGACTCCCCTGCCACAGAGGCCTGTTTCCCCATTGTTGTACCAAGGGGAGATAGATGTATGAAGAAGAAATGTTTAGAATTTGTGAGGAGTGAGGGTTCCACTGATGCATCCTGCAAACTTGGTATGTACAATTGGAGATGTACACAATGTAGAATGAATGTCAGGGGCTTTGATCAGTGATATTATATGTTTATTTAATAACTTTCATATTTTTGTAACTTGTTGAAGATTGATAGTGCTCACTGAGGGGTACCTTACGTTCCTAGCAGGGTAAAAAACTTTCAAAGTTGTTCATTTTCCCCTACAGGATAGGCCAAAAACGTCCATATTTATTATTTCGATATAACCCAATATCATGACCGCAAATCGAACAAAATAAGAGGAGGGGGAGGGGGCGATTTCTACTAGAAATTAAACAAATGTGGAAAAATATGCACATGCATTATTGAAGCATTCATTGCCGTTTTTTATCTCTCATTTAACGTAAGGTGACGTTAGTTGCTTGGTTTATTGCGTGATTTGACAGGATGTTGATGATTGTTTCCTATGACGGCGATATTAAACAAATCTGGAAGATTTACGCACGCGTATATTGAAATGTTTTTAAATAGGTGAACGTTTTTATCTGTCAATTAACGTACGATGTACGACTTACGACGTTAGTTGCTTGTTTTATTGCCTGCTGGGTGATTGACAGGGTATTGATGATTGTTTGTTTTGCTAGTTGGTTGATTAGTTTATTGGTAGATTAGTTCGTTGTTTAGTTATTTGGTTGTTTGCTTGATTGGTTGGATGGCTGGTCCGTTGAGTTGGAGGCCAGTTGGTTGCTTGGATTGTTCAGTGGCACATTTTAGAGCATAAAATGAAAAATTCAAATTCTTAACCCTGCTATGAATGTTAGGTACCCAGTCACCCGGTTAGCCCTTTTCCACAAACCCCTTGATAGTGTACTTAATATGAGAAATGAAAGCTTGTTTTAACATTTTTGTTTTATTGCTGCTAATGGTAACTTATGACCCATGAGGGCTTTGTATAAAAAAACTCCTACCTCATACCAAACCTACCAACATACCGGGGACATGATACAGTCTTTGAAGGGTTCAATTTTAAAGATTATAAAAATTTAGTTTATGATGACTTATAGATGAATTAATGGGCCCATATGCCTTTATTTATGGATTTGTCATCTGTCTAGTCATAAAATGAAGCCAGAATTGCAAAAATGTTAATAATTTGAACGTCGAAGGTACGATTTTTCTTTTTTGCTTATTTCGCTCGTTGAAGGCAGAATCCCCACGACATTTTTTCTCACAAACGTATCAAATGTTTTATAAAAGGTACATGTTTGCGTAAAAATGGCTCAGAAGACAACAGAATCTTCGATTTAATTTCTCACTTAAGTTACATTAACGGTAAGGGTTAAAAGTGCAGATCTTAACTGTTTTTCGAAATACCGTTTCGGTAACTAAAGTGAGGGATTAAATCGACGATTCCATTGTCTTCTGAACTATTTGTTCGCAAATGTGTACATTTTCTTAATAATATGATTACACGTTTGTGATAAAGATGCCGTGGTAAATCAACATGTGAAATAATGAAAAAAGAAAAAATCGTGCCTTCGACGTTCCGACATTTTGTTACCGAAACGGTTCCAGCGTAATCGAGTGGATCACCAGTGATGGATAAAGGCATATGGGTGCATTAATTCATCTATAATTCAACATAAACTAAGATTTAATAATCTTTAAAATTGAACCCTTCAAAGACTGTATCATGTCCCAGGTACGTGGGTAGGTGGGTGCGAGGTTTTTTATACAATTGTTATACAATATATTATCTGTGAGTTAAGTTTATTTAGTCTGTTGTACATTTTGTTAATATTAAGATCTGGTGCCATATTTAGAATCAGGAGATAATATTTTCCAAATTTAGAACTATTAAGTTATTCTGATTACATGAACCACTTGTTGTAATTCAGGTCCAAGGGAGCAGATCAATCAAATTACATCATACCTGGATGCTTCCTTTGTTTATGGCAGCACAAAGAAGGAATCTGATGAACTTAGAGATAAAACACAACCCCGTGAGTGTATAAGATTCTTGTTTTTATAAGTTTTCAACCAAGTACATTAGTGGGGGGAATTTACTCCTATATTTGGCAAAATATTTCAGATGGTGATACAAGTATAAACTTTTGCTTTTCTACAACTTCAAACCTTTTTAAAAAATCTGTCCCTGTGATCGATGGATTTCTTTACTTCTTCCCCCAAAATCCAAGATGGCCGACACTATAGCTCGAATAATATATTTAGCTCTGAGTTGGCAAATACAGCTGTAATTTAAAGTTTAAATTGTGTTTTCAGGACACCACATAATACATGTCATGAGCTTAAGTCAAGATAAATAATTATATAGGAGTTAAACAAGGTTCATTTCTGGTGCCCCTCTTATTTTGTTCATTTATAAGTTTGTATAACCCTACTCCTATGAATTAAACACAATTCGTAAGACTGTTCCTAAATTCTAGATTTTGATGCTCTACTGTATATCATATCAGTTTGTATAAATGAACGTAGCCTAAATAATTGAAGGATGTTCACAAATAAATGGTTTATCGACTACAGACATTTATCATGCGTTCGCTATTACAATGACATTATGACCACTGAAAGGAAATTCATTCATTTAATTTAGATTGAGGTTAAAAACATAAATACAGTCCATCTATGTATTCTATGCATTATTGATTATGAATATGCAATATGTGGTTTGTCGTGACTCTTAAGTAAGAAGGAATGAAATACCAAGCAGGAAGGTGATTTGAAATTTGAGTAAGAATTTGCAAATAAGAAATATAATCTAACAAAAATCTACCATTATTTGTAGAATTTTGATCAAGTGTAAAATACTAATTCGTCCCATAAATTATCTTATGCATTTCTTCACAGTGTCTAACCCAAACGCTCTTACATGCACGACTGAGCGTTTCATTCATGTGGAAATGCTGCGGAGTGAAATAAAATGGCCCCAGTATGACTGTTAGAATTGTTTCATTTGTTTCTCTAATACATATCATATACATATTATGGTAACATATTATGTACCATTCGATGAACAATACCCTTGGTGATAAACTGTTATTTGCTTTATCAAAGCTCCGTAGTTGAGATCAAACAAATCTGAAGTTGACGAATTGAACACAAATTACGAATTAAACTAGTATTTATATGAAAATGTCAATCTTATCAAAGAAGTAGATCACAAACTCTTATATTTTCATTTGCTAAAATCCGAGTCTAAATCCATTACTTGTTCTCGAGAAATCGCTTGTTTTCCTCGATTGTTTCTGTCGATTTTGGACACAATTTTAGAAACGCCATCTATTACCATTTTGTTTTGATATCATTTTCAGACTATTAGAGGAATGTTCGGATTTGAATCTATCTCTCAAAAACCTTTTGTACTTGTTGGGCAAATTGAAACTTCTCAACCTGGTGCTACACATGCAACAAGCCGACTAAACCAACATTAGATGATGTTTCCCTACACGTGTGCTATAAACATAAAACTATTGACAAAAAAATATGTGATTTAATTTTTCTTCTTTTGATGCCAAGGGACACAATAGATCTTTTCTTTCTCTTCTTATAAATAAAAGTCGAGCTTATTCCTAGATATATCTAGCCTAGTACCGCTGCGTTTCCAGTTAACTGTGTAAGCAGATTGCAGCATTTCTTGAAGATGAGAATGTCATCATTTTTAAGACTGGATTTTCGGTTATCAAATCACGATTATGATAATGTATGGTGTAAGAATTTGCTAAATAGAATTTAAACCATCCAATATTCTACAATTATTTTAAATTTTTAAATTATCACAATTCCTAGATAATATTTGATGAACAAATGCATGTGACTACTTGTAGTACAAATTCCTTTCATAATTTTGTAATGTCAGGGGCTTAGGCTATATGGATGGTGATATAAGAATTAACAAAATATAATTATATAAAATATGGTAAAAATTCTATTCAAGCAATTTGCGAACATAACATATCTGCAACAACTACATGTACTGGGTAAACAACGCAACTCATTTGTGAGTGTTTTCCATATATGGAACACAAATCAATATAACATTCAACTTACAACATGAAAAGTTAAAAACTGGTTTTAAACAAAAGCTGGTGAAAAGGTAAGGTGGCTGCCCCAGCTTTCCACTCATCCACAGGAAGTGACACAACCTCAGATTTCCATGAACATAGTAAAAAACAAGCCTTGAAACTGTTGGAAGGGATGATAAGTGTGACAGAGGCATTTATTAAGATTATGGAAGATCCATCAAATATCACAGACAATAGTTTTATGACAGAACAAGTAAGACAAATGATATAAATGCAGCCAGAAAGTACATGTTTTGCAAAAACGGGAGGGACAATCGAGAGAATTTCACCTACTCACGGTGCAATTCTGTATAAGTGATTAACATTTTGAGAGATTGTAATTATAACAGAGTAAAAAAGATCCAAAAGCTATTAAAAGGCTATTTTATATTTGTAAGACAATAATTTACTTCGAACCTGAAATATTGAGTTGAATGATTTGTGAAATATTATCTCTATTCAAGAAAACAGGTTCATTCACTTAAGTTGTTGTAAAATAAGAGCCCTCCCAAAATAGAACCTTTTAGAATCCCTATATAAAGTCATTTTGTCAAAATTCAAATCACTAATGAACGTGACTGTATATCTCCATCTAAACAAAATGCTTTACTCCAGAATAAATATTATTTTTAAACCACATTTATCTCTATATGTGAATCTACAGTGTTATTTGTACCAAATTATGAGTATATGGCGGCCATCTTGAATTTTTCTTGAAATAGTGTTCGGTTTAATCGATCACAGGGATGGACTTTTTCCTAATACCATAAGTAACAGATGCAGAATGTCAGGACTTACAGACTTGTGCAATTGCACATGCAATTCTGTATAAGTCGTGATTAACATTTTGTGACAGTATTTATGAGATTGTAATTATAACAGACTAAAAAAGAACCAAGTTCAACTCCATCAAAGGCTATTCTATACTTGTAAGACAATAATTTAATTTAAACTTGAAATATTAGATTGAATGATGTGTGAAATATTAACTTATTCATAAAACAGGTTCATTCACTTCAGTTGTTGCAAAATAAGAGCCCTCCCAAAATAGAACCTTGTAGAATCCCTATATAGAGTCATTTTGTCCAAATTCAAATCATTAATGAATGTGACTGTATTTCTTGATGTAAACAACATGCCTTACTACTAAATCAATATTATTTTTAAACCATATTCATTATCTCTATATATGAATCTATAGTGTTATTTGTACCAAACTATGGCTATATGGCGGCCATCTTAAATTTTTCTTGAAATATTTTTCGGTTTAATCGACCACAGAGATGGAAATTTTCCTAATAGCATAAATAACAGATTAAGTCATTAAATGTGCTTGTATCACCAATTGAAATATTTTCCAGCAAATTCCCCCTACATGCATATATTGTATTTACGAAAATGAAACATCCACTGTACTTCCTCGAACAGACAGGTAAAGAATAAATAAGCACAAATGCCAAAGGGAAGGGTGACAAAAAACTTTAAAGAAACCCAACAAGAAAAGCAAACTCTAAGTGTAAATCTGTCATAAGAAAAGTAGACCCTATATATCCCAAAAACCATGATCTAACGTGAAAAGAAACAATGTCTAACATCCCCCCCCCTCCAATCGAGAACCAATATCACAATCCAGGACCAGAACACCAAGGGACATTTTGACAGTTTGACAATTCATGTATGCATGTGTGTTCACCTTATGGCAATTCATGTTATAGTGGTGTTCAACATACAAGGCTGTTTATACGATGTTATTATCACATCCCATTCTCTTATACGTCGTTACACCGGAAGTTTATGACGTCATGTAAATATTTTCGGCGGGAGATTTGTAAGTACTCATTTATTTCGACGTTTTGACAGAATATGGTTCTTTCCCTTTTGTAGAAACATTGACCATACCATGCAGATATACCTCTTGTATCACTGCGTCTCAACATTTCTAGAAAGCACAGCAATTTCCTGAAAAAATGATAATTCTTCATGAGAACCATTATACTTTCTACAATTTTAGCCCTATCATCTTGGAATATTGATAATAATAACAATACAATTTTTATATATCATCCAGACACTCCAGTTTCCCAAATTAATGAAAGAATTTCTAGAAATTTAAACACACATCATTCTATCTATACATACATCTATTATCATTGATTTATGCAACTTTTGTAAAAAAACAAAAAAACACTACACTTACATGCATGTATTTCGTCAATTTTTTGCGGAGGCAAATTTACTTTTTACTTAATGTATGCCAAATTCGCTGAAATGTTGCTAAATCTGCTTAAATGTTGCTAAATTTGCTTAGATGTTGCCAAATTTGCTTGAATTTTGCAAAACTTGCACGAATTTTGCCATTTTTTAAAAGATGGGTATCGATATGGCGAACTTTTTGAACACACGTTTCTCTTAAACCAGTCATCAAAAAGTTCTGAACATTTACACATTGTCAATTTAATGGTCATCTTTTGAATTGTAACATATATAATTTGAAAAATATATGTATACTTTCATCTATATTGTTTTAGAAAACACATCAAACACTTGTTTGGTTCTTGATATCATGTTTCCAGAGTGAAATGAAACATCTTTCCGAATCTCATTGGAACAAAACGACATAAACACAACATGTTTAGGTCTCTCAATATTGTAATTGTACAAAGAACATTTTGGTTGATTTAAAAAAAGTATCTTGTTAATTTAATAAAAGGTTTATCTTGGTTTTTATCTATTTTGGGGGGATTTTGTTTTAATTTTTTGAATACTTTTTTAAAATCAACCCAAAATTCCTTTGTATAACTATAATATTGAGAGGTCTAAAAACATGTTGTATATGCTATTTTGTTCCAACAAGGTTCGGAAAGACATTTTATTTCATTCTCAAGAATTGGTAGAAAGGAGCAAAAACAATTGCACTAAAAAAACAAAAAATGTTAACAAAAACATTTATATAAAATATTTCTAAATAATTTTCGCATTAAATTGTTGTCAATCAGTCAACATTACATGAAATACCGTGTTTTTACAGAATGTTTTCAATGATTGGTTTAAGAGAAAAACATTGTTGAATTCAGTTCTCCGTATCGATACCACTCCTTTTGCCAAATTTGCTTAAACTTTGCTGAATTTACTTAAATGTTGCCAAAGGAGCACGTAAGTTATCGCAAACAATTTGAAACGATTCTAACTTGAATTATGAATATTTTCTGATCATGAACATGGCTGTATCTTTTAGATCCATTCATTATCTTCAAGAAAAGTATATATAATGATAATTAGTTAATCAGACCTATCAGTGATATTGAAGGGGCAATGGACCAATCAACATACTTTTCAAAAATGTTGACCTAATTTTCACAAAAAAATGCAACCTTTTATTATGTTGTTGAATGCATAATTAGAATGTGCTTTGAGACATGTTCAATTTTCTTAAAGGAAAAGTAGATTGCTCCAGGGACTTTAAAGGTACTGAATTTGGATGACCAAAATGAACTGAAACCAATGGATAGCATGAGATTTTTCAATGGAGAAATAACATCGGGAAGACTTATCTTAAAGCAATTAACACCCCAGTCACATTTCCCACGGCCGCCGTGCGGTCTATCATTTATGCGGCCAGTAGCTTTTCTACGCTCGCCGTAGAATTTCTGCGCTCTCATACTTTTGCAGTCACATTTCCCACGGCAGCCGCACGGTTAATTTTAAATTTCTGATGATAAATAATACTTTTTTTTTCATTTTATTTACATCAGGACAATTTATAGATGTTATTCATACTGCAAGGATGTAATATCAAATGAAAAGTGATCGTGAAACATTGACAAATAATGATTCAATCTTGTTGAGCCAGTTGATTTCTACGGGCACTGCAGAAATGAAAATATTATAACTCCGAGTTATAATTTTACGCCTTCCCTGCGGCCTGTAAAATTCTGCATACGCCGTACGGAGACCGCAAGGCGCCCGTAGTTTTCCTACGCTCGCCGCAGAAATTCACCGATTTAATTGATCTGCGGTCGACTTACGGCCGCCGTGCGACAAATGTGACTGGGGTGTAAGTTTTTCTTTCAAGAACTATTTGATACATCAAAATAAAGAATAGTAATGCATTAAACATTGTAAAAAGTGATTGCATTTTTGGTGAAAATGGGGTCAATATCTTTGAAAAAGTGTGTTGATGGGTTGATTGCTAGTTAAATATCTCCGAGTTTGTTCGACTTTATTATTACTGTATATAATTTTCTTTGAGATAATGAATTGATCTAAAATATAAACTTGTCTTCATTGTCAGAAAATAGTCATAATCCAAGATATAACCTTATGAAATTGTTTGCGATAATCTACTGATCCTTTGTTTAAATTTGGTCAAATTTGCTTAAATGTGGATCATTAAAGGGTATATTAGTAATTTACAGTATATATCTCTAATTTGGCTCTTTCTTTTCAAAGGTCCATTTAATAAAGTTTACGTTTTAACCACTCTGAATAATTAAGTCAGCAAAATAAATAGCTCAAGGCCATAACAGAGCACAAACTTACAGAAATTATCAGTTTCCTTGAATAAAACACTGCTCAAACTGAATGATTTGATTATATGTGTTTCCAAAATGTAGCCATTTGTTGTTGAAATATCTTCTTCTTAATCAATGAACTCATGTGATCTCCAGCAAGTTAATAGTAATACAGTTTATTATTGTCACGCCTAACCATCGACAACGTGCAGTGACAAAATATACGGTTATAAACTTTAGGTGTATGTTGTCATGTTTGAAGCAAAAATTATGATTTAGGTTTTAAATATAGTATCTAAGGAATATAAAGTAGAATTTCATTTTGTAATCCATGTGGCAAGACTTTTACCTTTCTGATTACGTTAATAGATTCTCGAGCAGTGCTCGAATTTTTTCTAGGCAATTCCATTCACATGATTTACCGGTTAAAAATGAGTGGACATGAGTGGAATTACATAGAAAAAACTGGTGCTCTTTTTGAGAATCTGTTGTCGTTATTAAAAAGTTTAAAGTCTTTCCAAGGACATGCACATGGAAGCAATTTAAACATGAAATACTTCATCACATTCCCTAGATAAATCATTTAAAACCTACATAACAATTTGTGATACAAACAGCTAAAGGGTACACTCGTATATTTTGTCACTCTACGTTGTCGATGGTTAGGCGATGTTTTGAGTGATCTTTATATTTGCTATTTGTTCTAATAATTACAGCATGAAAAAGTAGGCACATTTTTAGTAAGAGTTTTTTTCTGGCGCTCAGAATTTTAGTGCATCACGGGCATTGCATCACTGAGCTTTCACCAAAATTCTCTTTGGGGAGAAGTGAAGCCTCTCAAATTTATTCTCTTTTTTTTTGCTTCGAGGGACAATCTTAGCCTCTATGGCCTTGAAATCCTAATACTGCCCAAACTAAAAGAATAGAAATTTATATTACCATGATCTCATAAATACGTTTGATATCAGATCAATGCAAATCTTATTAAATACGTGTTAAGTGAGGTAAGATCAATACAATATTAATAAACAATGTCATGGTAAACGTCGTAAACTTCCTTAACGTTGTATACCTTCAAAGAAAAATTAATTTGTCGGAATTCTTTCATTGATTTAGGAAACTGAAGTCTCTGGATGATGTATAAACATTGCATTGTTAATTCAATTAATATTTCAAGATGATAGGGTTAAAATTATAGAAACTATGATCATTTTTGTGAAAAAATGATAATTTCTTTCCAAAATTTGTTGTGCTTTCTAGAAGTTTTGAGAAGTTCTAGACCGTGTTCAGACGAAATGTTGAGACGCAACGATACAATAGGTATATCTGCATGGTATGGTCAATGTTTCTACAAAAGGGAAAGTACCGTTTTCTGTCAAAACGTCGAAATAAATGAGTTCTTACAAATCTCCCGCCGAAAATACTTGTATGACGTCGTAAATTTCCGGTGTTACGACGTATAAGAGAATGGGGTGTGATTATTAAAGCAGCCAATTGATATGCAACTGTGCAGTGTTACAATACTATTGCAGGTCGTGGTAGGATCAAGATGACCGATCACCCATTTTCATCACATCTGAAGAAAATCCTACCACGCTTTGATAACAAACTGTGCAAAGACACAAACACAACAGTAAAATGCTTCAAAGCAGGTAATGGAACCTTTATTCATGTACCATTCTCTGCAGAGTTCAATTCACAACAATACATTATTTTTTGGTTAAGTTTTGTTACAGTGCTCAGATTAAAATAATATGCATGTATATTGATTTGCTTTTGAAGAAAATAATGTAAGGAATCAAATCAAAATAATTGATATATAGTTTAATGTAATATTATACAAACATTTAATGAATATCTGTGCATCTTTCACAAGTGATATTCCATGAAGCCCGAATGGCTATTATTCACTATTATATTCATCACTCACATTAATGGATTAACAAACTATTGATGTTTGATTAATAATAATAATGTACTCGCGTGGATGTATAAGCTAAAAAATACACTCGACTTATATTAGTCGTGGCTGGTGAATATCATTTGATGTTCAACGGAAATCATGTGACTTCCGTTGAATATCGCTTGTTAATTTTTGTCACGTGTAGGATTTGGACCAATCAGAGTCGAGGAATATGACGGTGAACTAATAAAAATAATATGATTTGATAAATGTTATTTTATGATATGGTATGATATAAGGTGCTAAATCCTTACATTACAGTTTTGTAACCACCCTTAAAGACATGCTAAATAGACTTTTCCGTGGCAATTTTTCTTTATTCCTTTTTGTTTCGAATTTTTAACACCATAATATCAGGTAACTACTCAATATGCAACTTTTCACCACTTAGAATTTTAAGACATTAGTTAGAAAATTCCATTTTTATAATGGAGCTCAATGGGAAAACTGACATAATTCCAATTATTTTTAAACGTAGTGGCGCGATTTTCTTGAAATTGACAGATATACTATTAATAATGGTAAGATAAATTGTTTAAGGGAAAAAAAGAAAATTCACCATCCTCGTTCTGCAAAATAAAGAAAAATGTGAAATAATCATGAAAACATGTAAAAATAGATTGATAAATAGATTTTAATGTTTGAAGTGCCTTTCAATACTACAGGTTTGGAAGTACTTCAGGGTGTTTGACTGAGTGGTCCGCAACTCATACAAAAGGCTGTGGTGTGTACTTGTATGTCTATGTATAAGTGCACATATAAAAGAACACAGGGCTCCTTCAAGGAGGGGTTTCTGGGTCTATCTTCTATGTTAATTACGTAAATTACGACCGTATATATACGGGACATTCCCAAGAGGTATTGCTCACCTTCATTGGTGGTAAACAAATTACAATACAATACAATATACATAATTTTGTTCCCTGTGGAAAGTTACATAAGATTCTAAAGTAGAAGAATCCAAGGGTGTCACTAACACAAGATACAATGTATAAAAAGATTGTGGGTACGGGTCATTTAGACGGCAAATTCTGGTGATTTTGAGGACAATTTAAAGGACAACTTTACGTTCCGTATTGCACATTTTAGCTATTGTTACCATGGCAGAGCTCAGTCCACATGTATGTGGCAGTTATGCACAAAGATATATAAGACAGGATTCATGCAGTGTCTTATAGGGACCATAGTACCACCTTTATCACTAAAAATGGGTAGCAGACAAAGTGAACATATCACCGAACTGGCTTCACAATCCTCACAAAACTGCTCATAATATATGGATAATTAGTTAAGCTTTTTCATTATTTCTGTTTAAGCTGTACACTTTGCCCAAACGTGGGAAACAAGTATGATGAAGCTCATAATAATAATAATTAATAATGATCCCCTACCTACATGGATTGTATCTTTTTCAGGAACACCTCTTGATTCTGAATCTTTCCAATCCGAAGTAACTTTTCACGAAGAACAAAATGATATTAAAAAATCTTCAAAGTCCACAACTAAGTACACAAAAAAGTATACCCAACTTCAAAGCCAGGATGCTAGAATTCTGAGCACTTTTAAAAATACGAAGGTATCAGTAAATGGCCTAGTTTGTCCTCCATCCAATGGCACTTAGATCATTATGTAACTGTCATGGATGACTGAGCAACCCCGACTTTTATGAAAGGTGTGAAAATCAGTACTGTGCCAAGTTATGAAGTTAGCATTCGTTTGATGGAGAATAAAGACACAGTGGAGTTTTTTTATGTACAGAACATTATTAATGTTCAAATTCAAACTTGTTTCATCTTCTTCATACTTTTGCATAATTTTCCATAAATTTTAGTTGGTACCTCCCTCTCGAAACTTTGGATCCGAAGAGCCTCTTGATCAGCAATGAAACTTCTACTTGATGATATGAAGCTTTGAAGTCAATTGTACCCCCATGTAAAGTCAATAACCCTTGCTGAAATCCTCATTTTCTCAGAAGAAGTTGAGTTTATTGAATCTAAACAGGTAGATTCATGTGGGACAGTATTGCTAGAATCCATTTCAAAAGTAAGAATATGGGTTCTATACACAGTACATGGGACTTGCTTTTTATCGTACCTAACAAAAGTTACGATATTGTAGTCAGCTTGACGGGCGGCGGGCGGGCGGGCGGCGGGCGGGCGGGCGGGCGGGCGGCGGGCGGCGTCTCACTTTTCAGCTAGTCTACAGGTTTCCAGCCGACCATTTGAGGGATTCATCTGAAATTTTCAGGGATGTTTCTACATATCAACGTCAAGAACTGATTAGTTTTTGGGCATTCTGGGTAAATCTTAAGGTGGCCATTTTGGATTTTGCGTCCTAAAATCTTCACTTTCAAGACTTGTCTACAGGTTTCCAGCCAAACCATTTCAGGGATTCATCTGAAATTTTCAGTGATGTTTCTACATATCAACGTCAAGAACTGATTAGTTTTTGGGCATTCTGGGTAAATCTTAAGGTGGCCATTTTGGATTTTCCGTCCTAAAATCTTCACTTTCAAGACTTGTCTACAGGTTTCCAGCCAAACCATTTGAGGGATTCATCTGAAATTTTCAGGGATGTTTCTAGATATCAACGTCAAGAACTGATTAGTTTTTGGGCATTCTGGGTAAATCTTAAGGTGGCCACTTTGGATTTTCCGTCCTAAAATCTTCACTTTCAAGACTTGTCTACAGGTTTCCAGCCAAACCGTTCAAATTTTTACATATGTAAATCTTAAGGTGGCCATTTTGGATTTTCCGTCCTAAAATCTTCACTTTCAAGACTTGTCTACAGGTTTACAGCCAAACCATTTGAGGGATTCATCTGAAATTTTCAGGGATGTTTCTACATATCAACGTCAAGAACTGATTAGTTTTTGGGCCTTCTGGGTAAATTTTAAGGTGGCCATTTTGGATTTTCCGTCCTAAAATCTTCACTTTCAAGACTTGTCTACAGGTTTTCAGCCAAACCATTTGAGGGATTCATCTGAAATTTTCAGGGATGTTTCTACATATCAACGTCAAGAACTGATTAGTTTTTGGGCATTCTGGGTAAATTTTAAGGTGGCCATTTTGGATTTTCCGTCCTAAAATCTTTACTTTGAAGACTTGTCTACAGGTTTCCAGCCAAACCTTTTGAGGGATTCATCTGAAATTTTCAGGGATGTTTCTACATATCAACGTCAAGAACTGATTAGTTTTTGGGCATTATGGGTAAATTTTAAGGCGGCCATTTTGGATTTTCTGTCCTAAAATCTTCACTTTCAAGACTTGTCTACAGATTTTCAGCCAAACCATTTGAGGGATTCATCTGAAATCTTCAGGGATGTTTCTACATATCAACGTCAAGAAATGATTAGTTTTTGGGCATTCTGGGTAAATTTTAAGGTGGTCATTTTGGATTTTCCGTCCTAAAATCTTCACTTTCAAGACTTGTCTACAGGTTTTCAGCCAAACCATTTGAGGGATTCATCTGAAATTTTCAGGGATGTTTCTACATATCAACGTCAAGAACTGATTGGTTTTTGGGCATTCTTGGTAAATTTTAAGGTGGCCATTTTGGATTTTCCGTCCTAAAATCTTCACTTTCAAGACTTGTCTACAGGTTTCCAGCCAAACCGTTCAAATTTTTACATATGTAAATCTTAAGGTGGCCATTCTGGATTTTCCGTCCTAAAATCTTCACTTTCAAGACTTGTCTACAGGTTTCCAGCCAAACCATTTGAGGGATTCATCTGAAATTTTCAGGGATGTTTCTACATATCAACGTCAAGAACTGATTAGTTTTTGGGCCTTCTGGGTAAATTTTAAGGTGGCCATTTTGGATTTTCCGTCCTAAAATCTTCACTTTCAAGACTTGTCTACAGGTTTTCAGCCAAACCATTTGAGGGATTCATCTGAAATTTTAAGGGATGTTTCTACATATCAACGTCAAGAACTGATTAGTTTTTGGGCATTCTGGGTAAATTTTAAGGTGGCCATTTTGGATTTTCCGTCCTAAAATCTTTACTTTCAAGACTTGTCTACAGGTTTCCAGCCAAACCTTTTGAGGGATTCATCTGAAATTTTCAGGGATGTTTCTACATATCAACGTCAAGAACTGATTAGTTTTTGGGCATTCTGGGTAAATTTTAAGGCGGCCATTTTCGGATTTTCTGTCCTAAAATCTTCACTTTCAAGACCTGTCTACAGATTTTCAGCCAAACCATTTGAGGGATTCATCTGAAAATTTCAGGGATGTTTCTACATATCAACGTCAAGAACTGATTGGTTTTTGGGCATTCTGGGTAAATTTTAAGGTGGCCATTTTTGATTTTCCGTCCTAAAATCTTCACTTTCTAGACTTCTTGCTTTCTTGGTCAACAAGACCACAATGCTGTGTTTTAGGTACGATATTGTTCACGTCTGTGCCTTGTTAGAACTTTTTGTTGGCTCTACTGCTCAGGTGTCAGTTGAACCATTTTGCAGGCCCATTTTAGAGTAGGTTAAGCTTTTTGCCGAACCTTTTATTCATAAGACAGTTACTCAGTCACAAGTTCAGTTCAGTATGGAAGGACTGTTCTCAAACTTAATGTAACAGAAAAAAGAATTGTGTAGCAGAACGATCATATAGTTTTCATTACTGTGTTTCTTTTAACGTTCCATTAGTTCATCATCTTACTGACACGTGACCTGGTCAGTGAGCACCTTTGGG